CAGAAAGGTAAATATATATATCCCTACTCCCACCTGCCTTTTGATCTTTTCGTTTCCGTGTCCCCATATAAACCTAAAGTTTGGTATGTTGTGTTTACTGGAAAATGATTTACTCCTTTGGTTCTTTTTAGTTCTCCTAACTCATCAATTTTATACTACAAATTAATTTGATAATTTTGTATAACAAAACAATCATAATTGAAAAAAAAAAAATAATTGAAAATACTCAATAAAAATTATCCATAGAAAAAATTTAATTACTCCATTCATCCCAAACAATAGAGTTTTTCGATTTTATGTTTAGAGTAAATATTTGGGGACAATTTGGGCGGACTATACCATTAATGTAAGGGAACTCTGTCAATATAAGGACTGGCCCCTCGTCAATAGTTATAGGATGTGCATTCTGCACCTTAGTTACAGTATTTCAGTATGAGGATGGACTACACATCACTTCTCTGATTTGCATACAGTCAAACTTTATGCAAAATTCAAACTATAATTACTAAATCAGACTAGAGAATAGTGAGTACATATTTTCTTAATAAAATCTTACAGTCCTAAATCTTACAATCTTAGGTAGTTTTAATCATTGGCTCTTTTCAATTTCTCACTCAGCAAGGTACTTGACTAGATATGCATTCGCTCAACATTTGCATATTGTAAGATTTCATTGTTTGGACTGAGGATGAATCATAAGCTTAAAAAAGCCAAATTCTGATAATGCCTTCCTTTTCTGATCAATTGCTGTGTGTAGCTAATTGAGCTATGTGCCTTTTGTTTGCTTGCTGTGAATGATTTTCCTAAGAACTTTTAACATTTTTTTTTTCACAAACTTCTTGATGACTTTTAACATTTATTTTGTGTGTGTAGCTATATATGGCTTGTTAAGAGGCCATGACTTGGTGTAAGTTTCGTTTTTGTTGATAGTCCTGAATTCATTTCTATATGAAGAAGCTAACTACAAGGATTTTTATTGGTATAATTTACAAAACTTATAGATGTAGATGTATTGCCTGTGTATTCAATGCTTCTTTTTTTTTTTTTTTTGGAATATGCTTGCTAGAGGATTATGTTCTTGTTGGTGATGTAATAATGAATAAGGATGATTATGTCCTTTCTATGGTGAGTTTATGTGTTCCATTGGTTCCTTGTTGATGTTTCCTTGTTGATATTTTGAAGTTTGATCAGTAATCTTTTCCAAACTATTCTTGTTCAGTACTATATTTTTTTTTTTTTGGCCAACATTTTCAAAACCAGTTGAGTGTTTAATTGTATAACCTGTATTGCAGAGCTTTTCACTGCACAAAAGGAGTGGGAAGAAATGTTACATGCTAGCTGCTAGGGACCTCGCAATTACATGGGGTGATACTCCTCATTATTGGGGATGGAACTCCATATAAGATTCCAGGTTTCTCTCTCTCTCTGAACTCCATACGAGATTCCAGCTCACACACACACACACACAAACACCACACAGAAAATGCAGACAAAAGGCATGCATGACACAGTTTCACTCACACCCAACCAAAAGAATTCAAGCATGTAGTTGATTGTTTTTAAGTGTCTTCTCCAACTAAAAATGAATAAATTTGTGAAGATTAATGTCTATAATTCATGCTTAATTACAATCAGGTTCCCTGAGAGTGCAGAGCTTCTCGATGTTTGTTGGTTTGAAGTCAATGGGAGGATCAGTACTTGCAAGCTTTCTTCAATGACACATTATAACTTATAAGGCATACCTTGTGTTCAAACTGGCAGCTGGAGTTTATGGATTTACAAATGAACCCGTAAAAGTTACTGTTCAACTTAGCAGGACCGAAGGTTTGCAGCGAACTGTGTTTCTGCATGCAGAAGATGAAGATGTACAAAATGACTACCAGTACCCAATAGAGAGGGGAGATGGTTGGCTAGAGCTAGATTTGGGTGAATTCTTCATTGAAGGAGGTGAAGATGGCCAATTGGAAATACGAATTTTTCATTTCAATGGTAGCTGGAAAAGCGGTGTCATTATTGAAGGCATCGAAATCAGGCCAAATTAGCAGGACATGATAAGATCTTCCACCCTGTGTATTTTTTGTGGGAAAGCATTGCTCCTCGTGTTAAATTGGGATTGTCATGCACTATTCTTCATAAATATATGAGTTCTACTATTATCTAGATGCGGTTTTTGAATCTTTATTTGAATAATGGATACATAATCTATAAGGTTACTAGTTTTGATTTGATTTAGGGAAAAGCACTTTTAGGACTTACTTAAGTCCCTAAGAAAGAGCATTTCAGGAATTCTTGATTTTTCTGAATTTAGAACTCAAGGTGAGTTCAATATATGTCTAAAATCCAATGTGAGGGGGCCTTTGATCTTGAGCATTGAAGCTGCTATTGGAGTTGTTGTGAGATACTAGGGGATTAGTGGTTCGAGTACAGGTGTGATTATTACTCAATATTTTTCTACTGTTTTGATTGAAGTTTTATAAGACTAGCTAGAATTCAAGAGAGCATAAAGAAAACACACCAACATTACAGTGGAGACTGATTCTAAATTAGTAGTTAAAGCCGTTTCGAATACAAGTATAGCTGTGGAAATGGTACCAATAAAATAATCATAGATGTCAATGGTTTGAGACACTCCGTTGTTGACTGCTGATTCCAACACCTTACACGGGTTGTCTGATGGTGATGATGATAAAAGGAGTTCCTCATTTGATTGCTTCGACATACAATAAGTGAATGTGCGTTGTCGCTCGGACTTCTAGGCAGTGGTGGGCATTGCCCGTCATGCCATGTGAGCTGCATTGTCATGCTATGCATCAAGTTAATGAGATGATATAATGATAAATAAGTTGATTTTTATCCATAATTAGTAATTATTAATTAATGTTGACACAGTAATAACAGTAAGGGTCCATTAATAGCCATGTTTTTCAAGTATTATTTAAGTTAATTAAAATTTAAAGGTATATAAGTGCATATTTTAAGTTAAAAACTTTAACTTAATATTTGAATTGAAGAGAATGAAAAAGAGAAAGGGAGGAGAAGGGAATTGTATCTTATCAACTCCCTTTATTTTTGTTCTCTTTCATTTTTTTATTTAAATAAATAAATAAATTTAAAACAAATGAAGGAAAGGAAATTCTTCTCATCTCTTCTCTTTTAATTTTTTTGATAATTAAATAGAGAAATTTTTTTCTCTCTCCTTTATTCCTCCGACCCAAATAATAAATTTAAAGTTATTTCATTCAATTTTTGACCTATCAATTTCATTTGGAACATTTTTTTTGCAAATTGATTTTTTTTTTTCTGAAAGTTAAATAATACTTCAAATTTGCAAATAAAAAAATAGTATGAAATGAATTTAGCAGGTATTTGTATAGTAATTGCAGAAGATTTTATTGCCAAAAACTTTTAACAGGTAATTCATTTAAAAAAATATCTACACATGATATTGGCAAAGAAAAATCGTTGCCAAAAATTCTAGGCCACCAAAAAAATCACCTAGTAAGGTACCCTATCCCGCTGGTGCCCAACCCAATTTTTGGGCCACCCTCCTTTTTGCGGTGCAGTTTTCTAGGGAAAGATTCTTTCCACAAATGATGTTTAATTTGTATTTCTTACATTTGTTTTCACTTTTAGAATTATATATTAAACTTCATTATTTAATAAAGGTACTTGTATTGTTTGGGTGAAAGTTTCTTCCATAAAAAACATTTAGTTTAGCCTTTTTATTTGTTTTTGGGTTTGGACCCCTGGTATTTGGAAGTTCACTGGTTCATCGACTAATCTAGATTCGTGTCGGGCATGACCTAACGGACGACAACACTCTCACTCACCAGTTTTAATGGAGCTATATTCTCATGATTTGAAACTAAAACCTCTGGTTAAATTAAAAAAATCCCCTACCAACTCATCCACCCAGTTATGGGTATTTAGTTTAGTCTTTGACTTACAGTAAAATAACCTTTAAACAAAGGTAAATTTATTGATATTAAAAATTATTTCTCATTTAAAGATAGTAAAAAAAAAAAAAAGAAAAAAACTATTCTCTTATACTCTTTTATTAAAATAATTTTCTTTTTGCCCGCGAAAATAAGAAAATGGGTCGCACCAGCATTTCTTTAAACGAATGGACAACTTTGGGGGTTAGAAAAATTAAATTTAAGGAACATTTCGTGCCAAAAAAAATTGAGGGACCAAAATGGGATAAAATTGATAAGTGGAACGACCAACGCAGCACATTAAACCTTTTCACAATTTTGAGTTCTGCCGGGACTCTAATCTTTAAATTGGTGCTTCCCATCTCCTACTGCTCCTCTTCCTCCCCGCATTTTGATTCGTCGATCGGAGAAGTCAACAAAAGAGTTCCGGAATGCCAAATTTCGAGGATCTTCCCAACGATTGTCTAGCCCTTATTATCTCCTTAACCAGTCCACTCGATGCCTGTAGATCTTCGCTAGTTTCCAAATCCTTCAACTCTGCCGCCGGTTCCGAACCCCACTGGGTTAAGTTCCTGCCGGCCGACTACCAGAATTTGGTTCCTGCATCGCAATCCTTTTCCTCTTTGAAGTCCCTTTATCTCAGCCTCTGCGATCATTCTGTCCTCATTGAAGACGGTAAAATGGTATAGGAACATATCCCAACCTCCTCGCTAATTATTTTGTTATGTTGTTCCTCAAATGAATTTACAAGGTATGGAAACATCCTAAGTCCCAACCTGCTCTCTGAATAAAATTAATTTCATTAGTTTGTTTGAATAGGAATATTATAATTATAATGATATGTAAAATTATAAATTTATGATATAATATGATAATAAATAAGTATAAAATATTATAAAAAAATTTGATGCATGTAAATGGATTTTTGATTAAAAAATTAATTATACAATAATAAGTTATGATATAAATTTATAATATTATAATTATAATTTTTTATTATCAAAATTAATAAAATTAATAATTAATTATAGTTGAATTAAAAAAAGATATTGATTATCTTTTATCACTAGTAGGGTGTTTGCGGTGTGGTGTGGTTCAGATTTTAATTTTTTTTAAATCAATCCAATTTAATCGATTAATAAAATTTTTAAACCAATCAAATCCACTATTATATGATAACCAAACTAATTCAACTTAAATTGGATCGGTATGGTTCAGTCGGATTGATCGGTTTTTATCATTATTAAATATATAAGATAATGTAAAAATATTTTAACATCAAATTAAAAACATAACTATAAAACACATTAACATCTAAATTAGTAAAAACATAATAAAATGTATAAATTATAAATAAGTTTTTATACTCCTTTACATTTGTAAAAATTAAAAGGCTCTAAAAATTATTCTTGGTTACATCACTAAAGACATCAAGAATAATAAAAGATGACTTTAAGTTTCTAACACAGCGTAAATAATTCTTAAAGGTTAAAATTATTTTTTTTAATGTACTAATAATTTAATTACATCTTTTAAATTTTGTTAAAAGTAAATAAAATTTAACATAAATATCACTCAAATTAATTAGAAGCATTTATAATCAAAATTTAAAACTTCTAAACCAAATA